AAAGTTACTAACTTTACTATCGGGGAGTCCCATCTCCATAAAAAATAACCTTTTACAGATACTAATCACAAACCACATTGACCTACGAACATACTAGGTATAAGCTATCAATTATCTTAACTAGAAAAAATAGATGATATTGTTAAGACAAATTGATTAACCAATTATTCAACCTAGAAACTTTATTTCTAAGCTACTTGAATTTTTTAGGACATGGTTAATATCCTTCTCTATTAATATTTATTAACACTTGTGTAAAAGATATCCTTCTTTATTAATGCTCATATATGCTTGTATAAAAGATATTTTTTTATTATATTTGTGTAAAAGATATTTTTCTCTATTAATACTTGTGTGAGGAATATTTTGTTTGTAGTGAATATTATTATGGTAAAATTACTCTTCAATCCATCCATTTATGAAAAAAAAATGTTTATGGACTATAAATACCCTTTGAACTTCAAAGTAAAATGCAAGTTTTTTCTTAAAATAAAAGGATATATATTCAACACAACAACAAACTAAAATCTTAGAATTTAAATATTTTTAAGTGTATTTATTATTTTTTTCTCTATTAAGTTACTGATTTTATTACCTGGAAATCTTTTAACACCCTCAAAGAAAATTTTTTACAAGTATTTATAAACATTCATTGAAAAAATTACTTTAACATAGGAGAAATAAGCTAATTACAAAAATACTTTAATCAATTCATAATTCAACAATTGAAAAACCTTATTCCATAAGGGTTTTTTCGCAAATTTTTTATCGTTGAGAGTTTTATACCAATAATTTTTATTAAAGTTTAAAAGGTGCTTATAAAAAAGATTTTGTTTATTTAATGATTAAAAGAAAAGGAAAGTGTGATGATTAGTATGAGTTTATATTGCTTTGACGTGGCTGATTTGTGAAAGATACGAATTAATCTATTAGAATAATTTAATTTTTAATTTTTTTTTGAATTTATTTCTAGTTTTAGCTTTGGATTCCAAGTTAACTATCAGATAAAATTTTAAAATATATGAAGTTAAGAGCTGATTTTCCTAAAATTTTATAATGACTTAGATTTTTAATCCAACATATAACTTGTCTTTTTCTATTTTTTTTTAAAATATAATTTAACTGAGAGTATGGTTGTGATTATTTTTTAAATTATTTTTTATTTAGAAATATATTAAAGTAATATTTTTTATTTTTTAAAAAATATTTTTAATATTAATTTATTAAAATAATTTAAAAACATTAAATATATATAAATTTTTAGATATTTTTAAAATACAAAAGCAGATAATATCCTACTCTCGTGACTTTGAAATGATGAAATCTGGACGGCAGATGAAGCTACTGGTGGTGATCGCCGGATATTCGCCTTACCTGAGTGGAAAGATTCTCAAATTAATAACGAGAATGCCCTAGGCCTAGGCTACATGCCAACACAACGGATCCCTGCGCATAATAATCTCAAGATCCAAGTCCTTCTCCTCCACCCAAATCTCTACTCCATTGAACAATTAAATTATTAGAATCTACCAAAATTGATGACGTGGTGTCCATGATCTCATACCTCCGTGGCTACTATTTGTGATGGGATAAAGCATTTTACATATTCTTTTAACACTTTTATTCTTTAATTCGCTTTGTTTTTTCAAGTCAATTTAGCTGGTAAGTGCTATGCACCTTGCGTTGCTTTCTAAGCACCGGTTTTTTTAATTTTCTAACCGCGTCGTGTCTGATTATATTATTTTTGTATTTTTTAAAAATATATTTTATTTTTTTTATAATTTTTATTTTGTCGTGTAAAATAATTTTGAAGTAAAAAAATACTTTTAAAAATAATTATTAACATATTTTCAAATACTTTTCTTGTTTGTTTTCACTTTTAAAGGGTTTTTAAATAAATAATTTTTTTTTATTTTTTTGTTTTAAATTAATTTTTTTTATATTTTTAAATTATTTTGATGTGTTAATATTAAAAATAATTTTATAAAATAAAAATATTATTTTAATATATTTACTAATAAAAAATGTTTTGAAAAGGAATTATTAAGACAATTTCTTAGTATTAGGTTTGTTTTTACATATTTTTTTTTTCAGTTTGTAAATTGTTTTTTAAAAATCTTTAAAATAAAAATATATTAATTTAATATATTAATACTGAAAAAAGCAACAGAGTGACAGCAGGACACGCAGAAGTGAAAAAGAAGGTGTGAAAGGGTTTAAAAAAATATATAAAAAATCACAAGTCACAAAGGGACTTTTCTATCTTGGAGACTCCGTTTATTTCTTGGAGACTCCGTTAAGATAAGCGCGTGAGAGGGACCCATCCACAAAATAAGACACGTGATGGCGGCTAGCACACTGTTCAGGCCTGGCCAATCAAACGACGACAAAATATCATATCGTACGCTCATTATATGATAATTTATTGCAAAGTATTGAAGTTCCAACATCTCCGTAAATGGGTATTTTAGGGGTTGGTCCGGTTTGTTGAGGAGTTTTTGTCTGTGCTTGACGTAAAATGCAGATGCAATCTCAAAGCATAGTTTATTATATACGAGGG